TTTTTTGTGGGTATTCTTTTCTATTTTTTTGTAATTTTGTATTTTCCTTTGTGCTTTATATATAAATAAATAAATAAACAAATAAATAAATAAATAAATATTTCATTTATTTTAATTAAGTATAAATAAAAAAATAATAATATAAAATTACATCCACTGGGCGTGACGTACTGACACGTCCTAGTGAAAGAGTATGAGCCCGTTGTACGTTTCGTAATTAAAAAGGAACTCCCCGGTTAACAGGTTAACTTATTATTTTGAATTGTCCCTTTGAATTTGTCTCCCAGAAGCTTTTACATTTCAAGGCAACATGTCATAGTATGATTTTTTTTTTTCATATAGTGGGAAATGGGTGATAGTGAAAGGGAATAGTGCATATCCAAAGAACATACACAGACAGTTCAACTTTAGGAGACAAAAACATGGAAGTGGAGGATTTGAAAATGAATTCCTTTAAAATTATGCCTTGGTTATTCTTCATGTATCCAAAAGAATATGCTTATTTCAAACTAAAGATGACTGATAAAACACCAATAATTTTTAAACCTCATAGATTATCAGAATCATTGGGAATTGTTTTACAATAGATTTGGATTGGACCTAGGAATCTTTTTAAAGGTTCCTCAGGTTGAAAATCATTGATTTAGTCTGAATTTCCAATTTTTCAGAAAAAAAATATGGCTCAGAGAGAGGTGACTGACTTAAAATCATGTAAAAGTGAACGACAAATTGAAATAATTAAAACATGAATGGATTCAGAATTGGTAGATATTGTGTTCAAGTTCTTATCTCCATCTGTTTCCAAGTGTGTAGCTTTGAGTAAGTCATTTAACCTCTTAGCCATCTATACCACATGTGTCAAACACAAGGCCCGAGGGCCAAATCCGTCCCACCAGGCCTTGCAATGTGGCCCGCACCGCGCTGTCATCACTGCACTCCGCTGCATTTCCATCACAATGACAGTTTATGACTGTTCAGTAAACCATTCGGCCTGCAATTTAGGCTGGATTTTAGATTTTGGTCCCTTCTCTGATTGAGTTCGACACCCCTAATCTATACTAATAAAAGGGTAATATGTTAATTAGACCAGGAGACCTTCCGGACATCCTTCAGGACAAAGCCATCGTGGCAGGGTCAAGGTAGAGGCAGTTAGGGGTGAGCAGGCCAGCAGTGGGGGGGGAGGGGGGGAGAGGGAGTTGGGGGTGAGCAGGCCAGCAGGGGGGGGCAATTGGGGGTGAGCAGGCCAGTGGAAGGGGGCAATTGGGTGTGTTCAGGCCAGCAGGGGAGAAGTAAGGGGAAAGCAGACCAGGGGAGCAGTTGGGAGGGGAGCAGGCAGGCATGCAGAGTGGTCAGGGGCAATCAGGCAGGCAGGCAGATGAGCAGTTAGAAGCCAGTGGTCCCAGATTGTGAGAGGAATGTACGATTGCTGAGGGTTCCCAGATTGAAGAGGCTTCAGGCTGGGCTGAAGGACACTCCCCATGCATGAATTTCATGCACTGGGCCACTAGTGTATGTATATATAGGCTAAGTGACTGACAGACTGACCAACCAGTACATATGGCATGCACTGGCAATTTAAAAATAAACAATGACTTGCATATGCACACTACATAGTAAGCTCTCACTGATGCCAATCACACATGCATTTCAATCTGAAGAAATTTTGGGATATACTCGATGGAGATTTTCACACCTATTTGAATGATGATTTTATCAATTCAATGGATGATACCAAAAAAGAAAAATTTCCCATCAAATTTCTTAATAGTATTACTCCTTCAGGAATGCTGTGTCATAAATTAAAATTGATAGTGGATGCAAGCATCATGCTACTGAGAAATCTTAATAGTAAAAGGAGCCTTTGTAAGGGTACTAGATTTATTATCACATGATTGCGACCTAACATAACCAAAGCTTAAGTATCAAGAGGAAGGAGAGGTTGTTCTGATTTCAAGAATTGATTTCTTCCTGACATTGGCTTCTCATTTAAATTAATTTGAAGACAGTTTCCCGTGATGCCAGCATTTGCAATGACTATTTATAAATCACAAGGACAAACTCTAGACAGAATAGGAATATTCCTACCTCAACCCATTTTCAGACATAGTCAGTTATATGTTGCTTTCTCTTGAGTTCTAAGAGCATGTGATGTTAAAGTTGTAAATACTTCATCACAATGGAAATTAGTCAAGCACTCTGAAAGTGTTTTCACTCTTAATGTGGTATACAGGGAGATATTAGGATAAGTTTAATCAATTTATCAGTCACTGTTTTTATCAATATTGTTTTTATATCATGTTTTCATTGTTTTATATCATGTCTTAGTTGTTATTGCTTATTTATTAATAAATTTATATATTATTTTCATATACATGTTACTAATTTGATTTCATCTCTGACACTTCTATTATAGAGAAATGGTGAATAGCGATATTAAAATATTTCTTCTATGTGCATGAATCCATGCATTGGGCCACTAGTTTTGTGTATAAAAAAAAAACAAAAACTTGTCTTATATCTCTCTTGATCATACTTGTGAAGATCCAATTTGATTTAAAAAGTGCTTTTAAAATATAAACTAGCCAAAACTGGTTCCAACCAGCAGTTATGTTTAAACAATGTGTCCATTTACACTTGAATGGCTACACCTTTTGATAGCCTAAGGGCAAGTTTACATGTAAACAAGTTTGCTCTCAATTCCCAGGGCAGAAAAAAAAAACAAGGTTTAAAATTATTAGATTTTAAAATTTATTCTTAGAAGTGTAAAAGTTTATTAATTAAAAAACAAACAAACAAAAAAAAAACACAAAAAAAGGAGATTGAAAAACCTGATGAACAATAATAGCGGTTCATTGTAGTAGAGTCTGCTATATGGGAGGGGAGTGGACTGACTGTTCTTGGGGAAAGGGAGGGAAGAAGAGACTGAACATAAACTGTGCACCTATGGATGAGTTCAATGGGGGTTGGGGAGGGGGTGGAGGGTGGGGTGGGAACCTGGTGGAAGGGGGAAGAAATGAGGAACTTTTGTAATAATATGAACAATAAAGATTGATTTAAAAAAAACAAAAAACAAAAACTGGTTTGGCTCAGTGGATAGAGCATCGGCCTGCAGACTGAAAGGTCCCAGGCTTGATTCCATTCAAGGGCATGTACCTTGGTTGTGGGCACATCCCCAGTAGGGGGTGTGCAAGAGGCAGCTGATCGATGATTCTCTCATCGATGTTTCTAACTATTTATCCCCCTTTCTTCCTCTCTGTAAAAAATCAATAATATATATATACACACACACACACACTAATTTAAAATCATTGCTTTGGAAGTATCCTTTCAATAATCCAACAGAGACTATGCATTTATTTGACCAACTGATTATTTCTTTAACATCAAAGCTGTAACTGCCTCTATTGTTTGCTGAGCCAGATAACTTCAATTTTATAATTCTGTGAGCTCTAGCAGAGACTCTGCAATCAGGATCACCCTAGGGATATTGGGTCCTAAAAGAGCCTTCCTATGTCTGAGGCACTTCCAAGTCAGGGCCAGTTTGTAGCCTTCAAGACTGAATACGTATTATGATAGCTTTCTTAGACCAAATGCATGTATTTTGATAGGTTATATTACATACTGGTTAGCAGGTCCCATTTTTTTTTGTATTTCTCTAATATTTCTGAGTTTCTTAATGTTCAAACATGTCTAATGGTTCTTATTGACTTCATAGGTTAAAGATTTGATTCAAAGATTGATTATGGGTATAAGTTAGACTCTGGCAATGAAAAGAGAATGAATTAAAAGGAAAATTATTTTATGGGAAAAAGAAAATAGAGAATTATATAAATATAAGAGCACTTTCACATCAAAGATTTGTTTATTCTAAAATTAGAAAAATATGTTACATAAAGAAAACAAAAGAGGGAAGAAAAAGTAGCAGATGAAAGATGAAAAGAAGAAGAAAAAATGGAAGTAGAAGTTGGAGAAGTAAGTTGTTGGTTAAATTCCTACTTTATTATGCTTCAAAAAATGACTTGTGACTATTGTCTTCCATGTAAGTGGATGAGCTTACTCTGGTAGGCCATAATTACCTGGAATGTGTGGCCATATGCCCTGGGAGCAGAGTAATCAGAGCAAATTCCCAGAGGTTCCTTGCCACAGAACTATTTTCACAGAATGATATAGGTAGAGACCCCAGTAGGCCTATTATCACAGAAACTCCAGAAACTATGTATCCAAAATATCTTCTTAAATGTTTTATAGAGGCAAAGGGGATAGTGTTCCCTAAAATAGGCAGCCCCTGGTAAAAAAAAAAAAAATGGGACCTTGAAATCTAAAGTTTATATTCTGCAAAAAGAAATCTTGGGAATTGTTAGAGGTCTTGAGAATTATCCAGTCCAGCTGCACCCATCAACCAATTATTCACCCCAGTACAGAGAAGATGAGTGTGAACACATTAAATGAAATAGAATTTATATGTCAGTATGGTGCTTTATATAGCTTTAAAGTACTCTGATAATACTTTATGCAGATAAGGCATTTATTTTAGAAACTATAAACTAGGATGATTAAGCAATGATTATTTTTTTTCTTTGACCTAAAATCAATATTCTCTTCAGAATTTATCTTTCCACTTGATGAAGACCAGTGTCAAAAAAGAAACTATCTCTCATTAGTTATTAACACTACCTACTCAAGTAGCTGCTATACTGTAAAGAACACAGAGAATCTATTTCCTTAACTACTAAGCTAAAAAAGTAAATGTGGCCCTTTCCAAAATGCCTTGCTTTAGGCCAAGAATTGTACCTCACACTAGGTTAATTAATTCTTTGAGTTTAAAATTAATTAAATATTATTTTTTAAAACCCATATTCAGCTGCCTTTGACATGGTCTTCAATTTGGAAGTCCCAAAAGAACAGAAAGATGTATTTTGGTCAAGGCTACTCTAGAACATAACTGGATTTTAAAAACAAAATAAAATACATAGTAAGAAATAAGATGCCAATTATCTCACCCAAGTCTTGACCGTGAGCTCTTTTATTTCCTTGTACATATAGGAGAGAAAAGCCTTCATAAATCCGGACAGTTCCCTGTGGGCACTGTGGTGCTTCTGTTGTCTGGCTGTGACGTGTGATGAGGAATCCATGGGCAATAGAGGAAGTTCCAGGGGGACCTGGGGGACCTTGCAATCCATCTGGCCCAGGGGGACCGTCCAAACCACGGGTACCTATTTCCATGGAATCATCAGTATAAACGATTAAGTAAGTTCTGTTCCACTACTGTGTCTAATCACAAAATATTATGACCTCATTTGTTTAATTTAGTCAATATTAATTGTTTCTATAAAAGCACTGTAAAATACCTCTTTTTTGGGGAGACAAATAAAATATGGTCCCTGATCTCAAAGAGATTTAAATATGCATATGTCTATATCTATATCTATCTATTTCTCCTGGAACTGGTTGATTATATGAGGCACTAAATAAATACTGGGCAAATGTAACATTACATGGGAGGTAGTGATGATCAGTTGGGAAGTCTGTATGTTTAGTACAGCAAGATAACTAGTCTCTTGCTGTACTAAAGGAGTCCAAACTCCACGACAAAATTTCAGCCTACAGTTTTGTACATCAACAAGAAAGCATGTTGTTGTCATCAGTCTGCCAGCTTTTTAATATGTCTGGGGAATTATTTTCAGGTATACCTTTTTCAGAGAATAGGCAGGACACTCTAAAGAAGGCTTTTAAAAATGTCTATTTTCTATCTACTTTTGGTTCCCTTTCTCCATTTAGCCTCTTGATTTGAGGTTCTTTTAAAAATATCTTTATATAGATGCCTTTGGCCACTGTGTGCATAGATTTTCATTTGGGGAAACTTAATAGTAATGTCCATGTGATGAAGAAGATGATACTGACTTATTTCTTCCCTAGGTATACAGTTAATGAAATGGCAGGAGTTAAGTTCTAGGAAGGCCATAAGTTTCATCACTCTGCCTTATTGCCACAATATTTTTTTACCAGTTACACATTTTTTATGTTTATAATATTTAGAGTTATATTTGTGTTATCTAGAGTTGCTAACACACATTAAAAATGTTCAGTTTATAATATTTTATTTCCTATTTTAGTTATCTTTAGTGTATTTTTCTTGCAAATTGAATAAAATTATTTTTGGAAGTAGGCTGAGTACAGATTTATATACATAATTATACAATATTATGGAGATTATTATTTTTGGCATAATATTGTAAAAATTATACAATATTATTATATACATAATAATACAATATTATGAGGAGTACCTATTAATGAGTAACCTCAAAAATATGCATATCAGTTTTTCACCTCAGTATGAGAAGACACTATGACTCTCAAAGCTCTCTGGAGATCACTTAATCTTTGCAATTATACTTACTGAATTATATAATGGAAATTGTACTCTATTGTGATATTTTCAAATGTGGAAGGATTCACAGTAGTTTCAAGATGGTCACAGGACACATATTGAAAATGATCAGAACAACTAATCACCATGTTGAGAAAGAGCTGGGTTTTCCAGTGGTCTAAATAAATAAAAACAACCTTTCTATGTTTCTCTTATGCTGGCAAATATACTTGTATCTGTTCCCCAGCAAAGGATATACCAGCTAACTGCACTCTCTCAGGAGGAGGTTTCACAGCTACAATTGGAGGCCATGTGTCCAAGATGTAAAGAATAGTATCATCAGCAGCAATTTACTTGTCGCACCTGGTTGGCCTGGCAGACCTGGATCTCCTTTGCGCCCTCCTGCACCATCAAAGCCAGGGAGTCCATTTCGCCCAGGATCTCCTGGAGGGCCAATTGGACCTACAGGAAAAAAGAAAGGTTTCAAAATATAAGTACAGCTAAAACTGATTTGGCTCAGTGGATAGAGCATCAGTTTGCGGACTGAAAGGTCCCAGGTTTGATTCCCGAAAAGGGCATGTACATTGGTTGCGGGCACATACCCAGTAGGGGGTGTGCAAGAGCCAGCTGATCGATGTTTCTCTCTCATCGACATTTCTAGCTCTCTATCCCTCTCCCTTCCTCTCTGTGGAAATCAATAAAAATATCATATATATATATACACACACACACAATAATTCAATATCTAGACAGATCCAGGAGACTTAAGGTCTTTGGATGTCACTGAATTCATAATCTGGTTTTATATTTTTAAAATACATTTATATATTTGACAGTATATTATAGATATCTCTTATTTTCTCCCCCTTTCCTTCCTCTACCTAGCCACTACCCACCCCAAAGTCTTCACCATTCTATTGCCCATGTCCATGGGGTATGCATATAACTATATTAGTTCCTTGGTTTCTCTCTCCTCATTCTTCCACCCCCACATTGAGGTATGTCAGTCTGTTCCATGCCTCCATGCTTCAGATCTTACTTTGTTGGTTAATTCATTTAGTGCATTCCTATCTACAAGTAAGTGAGATAATGTAACATTTGTCTTTCTCAGCTTGGCTTATATCACTTAGCATAATATTTTCCATGCTGTCTCAAAGGTAAGAGATCCCTCTTTTTATAGCTGCATAGTATTCCATTGTGTCAATGTCCCACAGCATTTTTTTATCCATTCATCTGCTGATAAGCACTTGGGATGTTTCCAAATCTAGCTATTGTAAATAATGCTGCTATGAACACAGGGGTGCATATATTCTTTCTGGTTGGTATTTTGGGGATTTTATGATATATTCCCAGAAGTGGAATCACTGCGTCAAATAGTAAGTTCCATTTTTAATTTTTTGAGGAAACTCCATACTGTTTTCCATAGTAGTTATACCAATCTGCATTCCCACCAGCAATAAACTAGTGTTTCCTTTTCTCCACATCCACCAGCACTTGTTGTTTATTGATTTATTGATGATAGCCATTCTGACAGGTGTGAGACAATAGCTCATTGTCATTTTAATTTGTATCTCTCTGATGACCAGTGACGTTGAGCATTTTTTTTCATATGACTCTTAGCCTTCGGTATGCGTGCTTTGCAGAAGAGTCTATTTAGATCCATTGCCCATTTGTTATTGGATTGTTTGTCTTCTTTTGGTTAAGTTGTATGAATTCCTTATATATTTTGGATATTAACCCTTTATCAGATGTATCACTGCCAAATATGTTCTCCCATACAGTGGGCACCCTTTGTGTTTTGCTTATGGTTCTTTTGTTGTTCAGAAGCTTTTTATTTTGATGTAGTTCCATTTATTTATTTTTCTCTTTAGTTTCCTTTGCCCTAGTTGCTGTATCAGTAAAGCTATCGCTATGAGATATATTGGATATTTTGCTGCCTATGGAGTCTTCTAAGATTTTTATGGTTTCCTGTTTTACATTTAAGTCCTTTAGCCATTTTGAGTTTGTTTTTGTATATGGTGTAAATTGGTTGTCTAGTTTCATATTTTTGCATGTCTATCCAGTTTTTCTAATACCATTGTTGAAGAGACTGTCTTTACTTCATTGTGTGTTCTTGTCTCCTTTGACAAATATTGACCGTAATGGTGTGGGTCAATGTCTGGGGTCTCTGTCCTATTACGCTGTTCCATATGCCAGTTCTTGTGCCAATACAGATTATTTTGAGTATAATGTCACTGTAGTGTAGTTTGATGTCTGGTATTGTGATCCCTCCAAATTTGTTCTTCTCAAAATTGATACAACTATTCAGGGTCTTTTATGCTTCCATATAAATGTTTTAATATTTGTTCTTGTTCTGTGAAGTATGCCTTTGGCATTTTAATAGGGATTGCATTGAATTTATATATTGCTTGAGGTAGTATGGAAATTTTAATGATGCTAATTCTTCCAATCCATGAACATAATATGGACTTCCATTTATTTGTATCTTCCTCTATTTCTTATATAATGTTCTATAGTTTTCCAAGTATGAGTCTTTTACCTCCTTGGTTAAGTTGATTCCTAGATATATTTTTATTTTTGCTGAAATGGTAAATGGGACTGTTTTTTTAGTTTCTCTTTCAGATAGTTCATTATTGGTGTATAAAAATGCCATCAATTTATGGGTGCTGATTTTGTATCCTGTTATCTTGCTGAATTCATTTATTAGGTCTAATACATATATATTTAAAAATACAATATATATTTTATTGATTTTTTTTACAGAGAGGATGGGAGAGGGATAGATAGTTAAAAATATTGATGAGAGAGAAAATTAATGAGCCGCCTCCTGCACACCCCCTACTGGGGATGTTCCAGCAATCAAGGTACATGCCCTTGACCAGAATCAAACCTGGGACCCTTCAATCCGCAGGCAAATGCTCTATCCACTGAGCCAAACAGGTTAAGACAGTTTTAGGATTTTTTATGTACTTTATTCTGTTATCTGTGAATAATAAGTTTTATTTTCTCCTTTCCAATTTGGGTGCTTTTTATCTTTTCCTGTTTGAGTGCTGTGCCTAGGACTTCCAGTAGTATGTTGAATGAGAGTGGTGAAAGCTGACATCCCTCTATTGTTCCTGTTCTTAGGGGAAATGGTTTTAGTTTTTCCCCAGTTAGTATGATGTTGGCTGTGATGTATCATATTTGGTTTTTATTATGTTGAGTTATAATCCCTCTTCTTCCACTTTACTGAGAATTTTTATAAAAATCAAATAGTTCTGGGTTTTGTCCAATGCTTTTTCTACATCTATTGATCATGTGATTTTAATCTTTCATTTGGTTTATGTGATGTGTCACATTTATTGATTTGCAAATATTATACCAGTTTTGCAACCCCAGAATAAATCCCACTGAATCATGGTATATTTAATATATTGAACAAATGTTGAGGATTATTGTGTCTGTGTTCATCAGGGGTATTAGTCTGTATCTTTTTTTTTTATAGTGTCTTTATCTGGTTAAGGAATTAGGATAATACTGGCTTTGTAAAAAGAGCTTGTAAGTGTTCCTTCCTCTCGAATCTTTTGGAAAAGTTTGAAGAGATATATGTTAGTTCTTCTTTGTATGTTTGGTAAAATTCCTTTATAAATCCATCTAGTTCAGTACTTTTGCTTGCTGGTAGTTTTTAAATTACTGCTTTAATTTCATCAGTTGTTATTGGTCTACTCAAGTTTTCTGATTCTTCCTGATGAGGTTTTGGAAGATTGTTTCTAGGAATTTGTCTATTTCACCCAGGTTGTCCGGTTTGTGGGCATAAAGCTGGTCATAACATTTGCTTATAGTCCTTGTATTTCTGTGGTGCCCATTGTTATAGTGCCTCCTGGATTCATTAATATTTTGCACTGTGTTTTCTCTTTAGACTCTATGTCATTTATTTCTTCTGTGATCTTTATAATTTCCCTCCTTCAACTTCAGCTGGGCTTTTCTTGCTATTCTCTTTCTAATTCACTTAGTTATAGGGTTAGACAGTTGGTTAGTACTTTTGCTTGTTTCTTAAGATAAGCCTGTATGGCTCTGAACTTCCCCCTCAGGACTGCTTTTGCTGTCTCCTATTGATTTTTGGTGGTTTTGAGTTCATTTCAATAAGTTTTTAATTTATTTTTTCTTTATTGATTAAAGTATTACATATGTGTCATTATCCCCTCATTGCCTCCCATCCCCCACTGTTGTGCTCACCCCCCTGGTGTATGTGTCCATTGGTTAGGCTTATATGCATGCATACAAGTCCTTTGGTTGATCTCTCCCCATTACCCCCTCCCTCCCCTACTTTCCCTCTGAAGTTTGACAGTCTTAACAATGCTTCTTTGTCTCTGGATCTGTTTTTGTTCATCAGTTTATGTTGTTCATTATATTCCACAAATGAGTGAGATCATGTAATATTATATTTCTCTGGATGGCTTATTTCACTTAGCAAAATGCTCTCCAGTTCCATCCATGCTGTTGCAAATGGTAATAATTCATTCTTTTTGTTTTTCCCCACAGCTTAGTATTCCTTTGTGTAGATGTACCACAGGTTTTTTTTTAATCCACTTATTTGCTGATGGGCACTTAGGCTAGTTCCAAATCTTAGCTATGGTAAATTGTGCTGCTATGAACATAGGAGTGAATATCTTTTCTCATAGGTATTTCTAGTTTCTTGGGATATATTCCTAGAAGTGGCATTAGTGGGTCAAATGGGAGTTCCATTTTTGTTTTTTGAGGAAACTCCATACTGTTCTCCACAGTGGCTGCACCAGTCTGGATTCCCACCAGCAGTGCATAAGGATTCATTTTTGTCAGCATCCCCACCAGCACTTGTTATTTGCTGATTTATTGATGATAGCCACTCTGACAGGTGTGAGATGGTACTTTGTTGTCTTTTTGATTTTCATCTCTCCGATGACAAACATGTTCCTTTGAGCATGTTTTCATATGTTTCTTAGCCTTTTGTTTGTCCTCTTTCAAAAAGTATATATTTAGATCTGTTGCCCATTTTTTTGATTGGGTTGTTAATCTTCCCTTTGTTAAGTTGTATGAGTTCCCTGTAAATGTTGGAGATTAAACACTTATCAGTGATGATATTGGCAATTATGTTCTCCCATGCAGTGGGCTTTCTCTTTGTTTCGTTGATGGTTTCATTTGCTGTGAAAAAAACTTTTTATTTTGATGTAGTACCATTTGCTTATTTTCTCTTTGGTTTCCATTGCCCTAAGAGCTGTATCAGTGAGGATATTACTTTGGCATCTGTCAGTTATTTTGCTGCCTATGGAGTCCTCTAATATTTCTATGGTTTCCCATCTTACATTTAAGTCCCTTTTCCATTTTGAGTTTACTTTTGTGAATGGTGTAAGTTGGTGGTCTAGTTTCATTTTTTTTGCATGTATCTGTCCAATGTTTTTTGAATACACTGTCTTGACTCCATTGTATGCTCTTGCCTCTTTTGTTAAATATTAATTGAGCATAGTGGTATGGGTTTCATTTCTGGGTTCTCTATTCTAGTCCATTGGTCTATATGTCTGTTCTTGTGCCAGTACCAGGCTGTTTTGAGAACAGTGACTTTGTAATACAGCTTGATATCTGGTATTGAGATTCCTCCTAGTTTGTTCCTACTTTGTTCTTTCTCAGGATTGATGCAGGTATTCAGGTCTTTTTTTTAAATTTTTTTTCCAGATGAATTTTTTGAGTGTTTGTTCTAGGTCTGTGAAATATGCCATTGGTATTTTAATGGGGGAGTGCATTAAATCTATAGATTGCTTTGGGTAATATGGACATTTTTATGTTGACTCTACCAATTCATGAACACAGTATGTACTTACTTCTGTTTATGTCTTCCTCTATATCTTTTTTCAGTGTCCTGTAGTTTTCCGTGTACAGTTCTTTTACCTTCTTAGTTAAGTGTATTCAAGGTATCTTAATTTTGATGTGATGGTAAATGAGATCATATATATATATATATATATATATATATATATATATATATATATATTTCCTGTAAGTTCACTATTGGTGTATTAAAAATGCCATAGATGCCTTGGCATTAATTTTGTATCCTGCTACATTGCTGAATTCATTTATTGAGTCTAATAATTTTTGATTGAGTCTTTTGGCTTTTCTATGTACAGTATCATGTCATTTGCGACTGATAGTTTTATTTTTCTTTTCCAATATGAATACCTTTTATTTCTCCCTCTTATCTAATTGATATGGCTAGCACTTTCAGAACTATATCAAACAAGAGTGATGAAAGTGGGCATTCCTTTCAAATTCCTGTTCTTCTGTGAAATGGTTTTAGTTTTTGCCCATTGAGTGTGATATTGGATGTAGGTTTGTCATATAAGGCTTTTATTATGTTGAGGTATGAGTCCTCTATTCCCATTTTGCTGAGTGTTTTTATCAAGAAAGGGTATTGCATTTTGTCAAATGCTTCTCTTGCATCAATGGATATGATTATATGGTTTTTATCTCTCAGTTTGTTTATATGGTGTATCACATTTATTGATTTGCAGATGTTGAACTATCCTTGCATCCCTGGGATAAATCCCATTTGGTCATGGTGTATGATCTTTCTAAAGTATCGCTAGATTCGATTTGCTAGAATTTTGTTGAGGATTTTGTCATCTTTGTTCAGGAGGGATATTAGACTGTAATTCTCTTTTATTGTGTTGTCTTTATCTGTTTTTGGTATTAGGGTGATGCTGGCTTCATAGAAGGAGTTTGAAAGTGTCCCTTCCTCTTGAATTTTTTTGAATAGTGTGAGAATAGGTTTTAGTTCTTCCTAGAATGTTTGGTAGTACTCCCCTGTGAAGCCGTCTGGCCCTAGGATTTTTTTTTTTTTTTTTTTTTTTTTTTTTTACTGGAAGCTTTTTGATTACTGCTTCAATTTCCTCCATAAAAGTATATGGAATAATTTACAAATTTGTGTGTCATCCTTGTGCAGGGGCCATGCTAATCTTCTCTTTAGCATTCCAATTTTAGTATATGTGCTGTCAAAGAGAGCACCATTTTTAATTGCTTTCTTGATCTCATTGGTAACCCATTCATTGTTTAATAACCTGCTACTTAGCCTCCATATATTTGAGTGATTTTGAGTTTTTTATTTAATTTAATTTCTAATTTCATTAATTTCTAATTGAGATATGAGAAGAAGCTTGGTACGATATCAATCTTCTCAAATTTGTATAGACTTGTTTTGTGTCCTAACATTTTATCTATCTTTGAGAATGTTCCATGTGCACTTGAGAATTATGTATGTTTTGTTGATTTGGACTGAAATATTTTGTAACTATCAGTTAGATCCATCTGATCTAGTGTGTCATTTAAGGCCTCTGTTTCCTTATTGATTTTTGGTCTGGAAATTCTATCCGTTTATGTCAGTGGGATGTTAATATCCCCTACCATGATTGTATTGCTGTCAATCTCTCCTTTAAAGTCCATCAGGATTTTTGTTGTTGTTGTTGTTGTTGTTTGTTTGCTATATATATATTTGGATGCTCCTGTATTGGATGCATGTATGTTTACAAGGGTTATATTTTCATATTGAATCATTTACTTTAGTATTATGTAGTTGCCTGTTTTGTCTGTTGTTATGGCCTTTGTTTTTTCTTCCATCAGGTTTATGAACTCTATGACCCTTATTCTGAATTCTTTTTCTGACATATTGCATGCCTTTGTTTCACTTAGCTGTTTTCCTGGTGATTCCTCTATTTCTTTCCTTTAAGGGGTATCTTTGTCTACCCATTTTTTGTCTCACAGACTGGTCTAGATTTCGAGCTGTGCAGGGGCTGCTTCTTGGGTGGCAATAGGTTCTCTGGCTGCATTTGCTCCTTGGGCTGTTATGGCAGCAGTTGCTTCTCAGTTGGCAACAGCTCCTTTGGTGGGTGCTGTTTGCAGCAGTGGTTCCTCCTCTGGCTGATGGGGAGGCTGCTCATATAGCTGCTGTTTCTTGGACAGGGGTGGGCTGATTATGAGGTTGCTGCTCCTTGGATAGGGACGGATTGCTCATGTCTACTGCTCCTTGGATGGGGGCCAGCTGCTCACATGACTATTGATCCTCGGACAGGGGTAGACTACTCCCTTGGCTGCTGTTCTTTAGATGGGAGTCTGGCTGCATGCTGCTGCTGTTCCTCAGATGGGACAGGCTACTCGTGATGCTGCTGCTCCTTGGATAGGGGCAGGTTGCTTGCAGGGCTGCTGTTCCTTGTACAGGTGTGGGTTGCTCATGCAGCTGCTTCTCCTTAGATGCAAGGCAGTCTGCTCATGTAGCTGCTATTCCTCGAGTTGGAGTGAGCTGCTTGTGCTGTTGATGCCCCTCAAAGAGAAACATTCCACTCACCTGGCTCCTCCTCTTTGGACAGGTGCAGGCTGCGTGTGGGTGCTGCTCCTCAGACCAGTGCGAACTGCACAGGGCTGCTGCTCCTTGCACGTGGGTGGTCTGCTTTTGTGGCTACTGCTCCTCAGATTGGGGAAGGCTGCTTGTGTGGCTGCTGCTTCTCAGATGGGGGCAGGCTGCTTGTATGGCTGCTGCTCCTCAGAAGGGGGTGGGCTGCTCACACAGGTGCTGCTCCTTGGATGGGGACAGACAGCTCATACAACTGCTGCTCCTCGGATGGTGGTAGGCAGTACATGTGGCTGCTGCTTCTCAGAAAGGGATGGTCTACTCACACAGCTGCTGAGCCTTGGAAGGGGGTGGGGTTTCTTGCACAGCTGCTGCTCCTTGGAAGATGGCTGGCTACTCATGCAGCACAGCTGCTGCTCTTCGGACAGGTGCAGGGTGTGGGTTGCGCACAGTTGCTGTTCCTTAGATGGGGGTCAGCTGTGTGGGGCTGCCGCTCCTCAGTATTGGGTGGGTTGCTCAAGCGGCTACTGAATGAGCTTTGTTTTGAAGTCTATTTTGTCCAATATAAGTATTGCAACAACAGCTTTTCCCCTTACAATTTGCATAGAATATTTTTCCAACCCTTTGCTTTCAGTCTCTGTGCATCTTTTACTCTGAGGTTGATCTCTTGTAGACAGCTTCTATGAGTCATGTTTTCTTACCCATTCTGTCACCTTATGTCTTTTGACTGGAATATTTAATCTACTTACAGACATAGAGTTCAGACATATTTTAAGGTTATTATTGATAGGTATCTATTTATTGCCATTTTTTACTTATTGCCATTTTATTTTCATTATAGCTGTGATTTTCTCTCTCTCTCTTTACTTCATCTTCTTAAAGAAAATCCCTTAAACACATTGAAGACCAGTAGTTTTATTGCTAGCTTTACCCAGTGGCTGGGTAAGTTTCTACTGAATGAGTACAAAACCATTTTACATAAATGTTAAAGGCACACTTTAAAATCAAATACCCAATGCATTTTTAAGTTATTTATTACATGTTATTACAAGCTGATATCTTTTTAACATATGATACTTTGTAAAAAACACTGTGTAATATAAAGCAAGAATTATCGTGATCCATCCTCAATGTGTTTAAGATTTCTTGCTTTTCTAGTTTGGTGGTAATGTACTAGTTTAACCTTTTTTTGTCTGGAAATGTTATTATTTCACCTTCAGTTTCAATGATAGCTTTGATGGATGCAATAGTCTTGGATTTAGGCCCTTGTTTTCCATTACTTTCAATACTTCATGCCACTCCCTTCTGACCTGAAGTGTTTCTATTCAGAAGTCAGCTGACATTCTAGTCAGAACTCCTTTGTAGGTAAATTTCTTTCTCCTGTTGCTTTTAAGAGTCTTTCTATGTCTCTAATGTTTGCCATTTTGATTATGATGTGTCTAGACAGGTGTGGGTCTCTTTGGGTTTATATTGATTGGAACTTTCTGTGCCCCCTGTACTAGTATGAATTTTTCCTTCACTAAGTTGGGGAAGTTTTCTATCATTATTTCTTTAAAAAGTTTATCTGTTCCTTGCTCACATTTTCCCCTTCTGCTATTCCTATGAGGCAGATGTTATGTTTCATGTTGTTCCAGAGTTCCCTTAAACCATCTTTCTGCCTTTTCAATACTTTTTTCTATTTGTTGCTCTAATTAATTATTTCTTTCTACCTTGTCTTCCAAATCACTGATTGGATCATATTCTTTATCCAATTTACTTTTAATGCCTTCACTTTCTTGATGTCAGATGTGTTATTCTTCATTTATGTTTGGTTCTGGGTTTCTATTTCCCTTTTCATGCTCCTGTAATTCCCACTGAGTTCCTCGTAATTTGCACAAAGTTTCTTAAGCATATTTATAACCATTACTTTGAACTCTATGTCTGATAAGTTGCTTGTCTCCATTTCATTTAGTTCATTGTCTGGAGAGTTCCCCTTTACTTTCATTTGGGTTTTGTTACTTTGTCTCCCCATTTTACCTCCTGTTTTGTATTTGTTTCTATGTTTTAGCTAGAATTGTTATTCTTCCCAGCCTTTGTGGGGTGGCATTATGTAGGAAGTATGTTGTGGGGTCCAGTAATGCAGTTTCTTTGATATACAGAATTGGACACTTTAAGACTGTCCCTTGGATGCATTATTTTGGCTCTCCCGTTATAACTGAGACTTGATTGTTAATGTCCCTTTCATAGGAGGGATCTCCCCTCTGACTCACTGACAGTGAGGCTTAACCCATAACCTTATCATGTCAGCATTATACAAATGCTGACAGAACAGAAGACACAACAGGAACAAAACAAAAACACAATGATAATCAAGATACATAAAGCAATAATAAAAGGAAAGCATAAAAATAAAAAGAGAGCAAAGAATGAAAATAATACTAAAAGACATGAGACCAAAGATATGGAGGGGTTTTAAAGAAAATTGAGAAAGAAGTATAAGAAAATAATGTCAACAAGGAAGCAAGAAAGAAGCTAAAGGAACTAGTATAGGAAGAAAAACAAATCTATAAGGAAGGCCACTTCATAATATTAAAGGGAGCAATTCAACAAAAGGATATAAATCTGGTAAACATATGGATACGCAATACAGGAGCAACTATATACATTAAAAAAACCACAAAAAACAAAACAACAACAACAAAAAACACTTCTGGAAGATATCAAGGGAGAGATCAAAAGCAACACAGTCATAGTAGGCAACTTTAATACCTCCCTGACACTACTGGATTAATCCTCTAAATGAAAAATCAGCAAAGAAACATCAATCCTAAATGACTCACTAGATCAGATGAACTTAATTGACATAGTCAGAACATTTTACCCAAAAGCTATATAATATACATTCTTAAGTGCACATGGGTCAATTTCAAAGATAGACCTCTATTGGGATACAGGCAGAGTGTATCAAAATTCAAACACATAGAAATCATATCAAGCATTTTCTCAGATCACAATGGCATAAAATTAGAAGTCAACTACAATAAAAACAATGGGGGGGGGAAATGAAACATTTGCAGGCTGAATAGCATGCTATTAAGCAATCATTGTGTTACCAAAGAGATAAAAAGAGAAATAAAAGGCATCATTGCAACAAATGACAATGGAAAGACAACAATACAAAATATATGGGACACAGTGAAAGCAGTCTTGAGAGGGAAGTTCATAGCTCTACAGCCCTACCTGAAAAAAACTAGAAATAAGGGTAATAAATTATTTAACCAAGACATCTCAAAGAATTCGAAAGAAAACAACAAGAAGCGCCCAGAGTAAGCAGAATGAATGAAATAATAAAGATCAGAGTGTAAATAAATGACATAGAGACAAAAACTTACAAAATATCAATAAAACCAAGAGCTGGTTTTTTGAAAGGATAATCCAGCCAGACTCACCAAGAAGCAATGAAACAAAATCAGAAATGAAAGAGGGAAGTAACAACCGATCCCACAGAAATACAAACAATTATGAAAAAAGTACTATGAACAACTGTATTCCAAAAACTGGACAACCTAGATGAAATGAATATATTCTTAGAAAAGTAAAAGCTCCCAAAACTCAATCAGGAAGAATAAATAAATCTGAATAGGCTGATAACAAACGATGAAATTGATGTAGTGATCAAAAACCT